GGAGGTGGGTAGTTAGGTGAATGGGGAGGTGGGTAGTTGGATGAATGGGGAGGTGGTTGGTTGGGTGAATGGGGAAGTAGGTAGTTGGATGAATGGTGAGGTGGTTGGTTGGGTGAATGGGGAGGTGATTAGTTGGATGACTGGGGAGGTGGGTAGTTGGATGAATGGGGACGTGGTTGGTTGGATGAATGGGGAGGTGGGTAGTTAGGTGAATGGGGAGGTGGGTAGTTGGATGAATGAGGAGGTGGGTGGTTGGGTGAATGGCGAGGTAGATAGTTAGGTGAATGGGGAGATGGGTGGTTAGGTGAATGGGGAGGTGGGTAGTTGGATGAATGGGGAGGTGGGTAGTTGGATGAATGGGGAGGTGATTAGTTGGGTGAATGGGGAGGTGGGTAGTTGGATGAATGGGGAGGTGGGTAGTTGGATGAATGGGGAGGTGGGTAGTTAGATGAGTGGAGAGGTGTGTGGTTGGATGAATGGGGAGGTGGCTGGCTGGAAGAACAGGGAGGTGGCTGGCTGGAAGAACAGGGAGGTGAGAGAATGGCTGGATGGGTGGTTGCGTGGATGAGCGGGTAGAAGAATGGGAGGGCGGAGAGTAGCCCTTTGCTCTCCATAGACCGAGTGAAGCCAGTGAATCAAGGTAAGGAAAACAGAAACAGGTCAAGACTTTGGGGAGATTCTCACAACCTCCATTCTGCCCAGCAATGTCATACACCTTTTGCGGCAAAGACGCTGATGCAGGGCACAGCTGCACCTCACTCCCCACAGCCTGCTCATACAAGGTAGCTGCACCTGCAAGGCCAAACCTCCACCTTCACACCTAGAAGCAGGTGGGAGCAGCGCTGGCGCCCATTTGTGAAGAGGGAATCAGCACCCCATCTGGAACCACGCTGGCCAGGCCTGACTCGGTATCCTCCAGTCAAAGCCCCCAGTGGGCACGTCGGCACAGTGAGAGGCACCGGACAAGAAGACTCCAACTGATGGGGACAGGCCTGGTGCGGCCGCCGGGCTGACCATCAACCTCCATTAGGACTAACAGCCCTCGGACAGTGAGCACCATGGCCATGGCTGGCTGCCACGAGCCCCCAGACACTGCTGTGTGCCAGAAAGTCACCAGGACCCCACTGTCCACGCAGGCAGCCTCTGTGGGACCCGCAGGCAGGTGTGGCTGACGGGAAGCAGATGAAGCCATGAAGGGAGGGGCAAGTTGTGTTTCAGGTGGGGCTCCCCTGGTCCCATCTACTCTCGGCTGGACACAAGAGGCAGTGGGGCCATTAGAATGGGCTCTGGGCTCTGGTCAGCACAGGACAGAGACATGCGAGGTGGAGCACGTCCCAGAGCAGAGACACGGAAGCACTGCTTCAGGAGCAAGAAGACCTGGTGACTTCCAAATGCCCAGGGAGCAGTTCTCCCACCGGGAAGGGTCCCCCCTCCCCGGACGAGACCCATGAGCCGACAGTTCTCCCACTGGGAGGCACCCCCAGGAAGGGGCCTGTGAGCTGATTGTTCTCCCACAGGGGAGGGGTCCCCCAAGAAGAGGCCTGTGAGTCGACAGTTCTGCCAACGGGAGCGGCCTGTGAAATAAGAGTTCACTGATAGGTAAGGGGCCCAAGAGCCAATGATTCTCCTATGCGTAAGTGGTCCCAGGAGTCAAGGGTTCTCCGACACATAAAGGGCCCTGGTTTCCATCACAGGAGTGGGTAAGGAGAGCCACCAGGAAAGAGCAGGAAACCTCAAGTTCAAGATGCTTTCAGACAGGGAACACATTCTAGGCCAAGTTCATTCTCAGTCCTGAGAGCTAAAATCAAGGCCAAGGTGGGGGCTGACGTAAGGCTGCTGACCAGAAGGTCAGCTGGGATGGAGGTCCTCAGTGCAGAGACCCTGCTGCCAGCCTCCTGAGAACTGGGGGTGTCAGGAGCCCTGGGGTGGCCCGAGGGTGCAAGAAAAAGAGCCTAGGAAGCCTGAGAGCAAGACTGAAAACGGAAGAAAGCCTAGTGAATGCTGAAATCATGCAATTATTCTGGTTGCTTCTAAAACCAGAACTCATTAAATGCTCCGGGTCTCTTCGTTCCCCTCCACGGCAGTGTTCACTCACAGTAGGCCTGCAAGCCCCTGGGGGTGGGGTGGGGTGTGTGTGTGTGTGTGTGTGTGTGTGTGTGTGCATGCTGACAACAGGCACAGTGGATCTGGGGTGTGTGTGTCCATGAACACCTATATGTGTGCGTGAGGTGTTTGTGAGTGTGTGTGATTGTAAGTGGGTGTGGTGTGTGCACAAGTGTTCACGTGTGGCGTGTTTTTGTGTGTGCTTGGATGTCTAGAGGTGTGAGTGTGCACGTATGCACGTGTATGTGTATATGCATGTGGGTGTGCACGTGCCCAGTGTGTGCATGTGACTGTGCGTGCACACATGCGTGTGTGTTTGTGTGCATGTGTGGGCACGTGCATGCTCTTCCCTTCACTTTTAAGAAGAAATAAATACCACTCCGATTCTCTCAACCACAAAATCTCTTGTCATAATTAAGAGCTTGGCAACCGTCCACCTGCAAAGACAGCCGTTCCACTTAATGGAGTAATCGCCAAATTTTACCTACTGATTTATTTATTTACTGGCTTATTTATATGCAGATGCTAACGAGGCAGCTCAGGCCCTGCCTGCAGGCTGGCTC